GTGGTACAGAGTCCTGATCACTCCTAACTTGTGTTCCAGTGGGTGGTGGGAGTCAAAATGTAAATATTGGCCTGTGTGGGAAGAAGTCTCTTGGAGGAGAGACGAAACGTTTCATTAGAGAAGAACCCGTCCAGAAGACCTATACAATTTTTTTTCTTTTTGATCATAGAAAATTCACAATTATGAGATAAAATATTAAAGCTATTTGAAACTTTTAATTTGGACTTTTATTATCATACGACGTGAAAAATTAGGTCTTTCTAGCAGCAAATGGGCTTCCATAGGAGCAACTAATATTTCTAAAACTATAATTACCCATTAAAAGCATTTTGTCTGATACATATCTGTATGTATATTTAATTTAACACCTGTCAATGCTTGATTATAAAATGACCTTTTATTATTTGTGTTTTCTACCATTAGGAAATATGCAAAACATATTTGCAATGGTGTATTATTTAAAACACAATAGCACTTTATACCTACAATAATTATTTCCCATCTTGTTTGTTTTGTTGTTGATCCTCCAACAGGTTACACTCTGGTTTTGTTTATACTTTGTACGCATGGCTACAGGGCTTCAAGGATCCCACGCATGCGCTGTGCGCAACATCCGGGTCCTTGGATAAGGATGAACGCCAACTTCCAAGATGGCAGCGGAGGGAGGAGGGAAGGAGACGAACGAAATTAAAACTCAGTTTACCACCCGGGAAGGCGTCTACAAGCTCCTCACGCACTCCGAGTACAGCCGCCCGAACCGGGTGCCCTTCAACTCGCAGGGCTCCAACCCCGTCAAGGTCTCCTTCGTCAACGTGAACGACCAGTCCGGAAACGGGGACAGGATTTGTTTTAATGTGGGCCGGGAGCTGTACTTTTATATCTACAAAGGCGTGAGAAAGGTAAACAACATGACAGCGGGAGAAGAAAAAAAAAAGCGCCACCGCTGACCGGGAACACTAGCTGGCTTTAAAACACAACCCTGTTAGCTGACTGTCATTGAAGTGCGCAGGTTTCTCGAGGCCATCGTGTTTCTGACCCAGCTGAGCTGAGTTTGGGACTGATTAGCATTCTTAGTAAACATCGTCACAGTTGTGTCCTGACACACCGTCTGCCATGTGTTTGGGCTCCTTGTGACAAGTGGCACGAATTTTCATAAAATCAGAGATGTTTGTTTATCCCTGTCATTCACATAGTAACCAAAGCCCTGTAGACAAAACGATTAGCATGTTGTGCTCGCCAAGAGAAGAGACTCAGGTGTTCCTCTGAGAGAGCCAGCTGAGGGGAGAGTGATCGTTAACCCCGGTGTAATGATGTGTACACTCCACTGTCGCGGTCGGGATGTGATGTAATGTGAGCCCACTGTTGGGTCTTGTTAAACAGGGATGGTAACTGACACAAGTGGTGATCATGCTGATGATGCTTTAGTCTCTGAAGCTGTAACCCAGTGGTATAGCCTAAGAACTGTTTTTTTTTTTCTTGGCTAAAACTCGACACATAATGATAAAAAATAATTGATGGTGTCAGTAAAGCTCTGAACTCGTGATTTTAGTGTTTTCATCATCACGCAGAACACTGGGAGTGGGGACTCTTAAAGCACCTCACAACTCAAATTGTGATTTAGAGGGCTGTGATGAAATTATAAAAACAATTATTAATGCGACCATAATCATCCTTCAAGCACGTATACAGCGGGGAGAACAAGTATTTGATACACTGTTGATTTTTCAGGTTTTCCCATTTGCAAAGCTTGTAGAAGACTGTAATTTTTATCATAGGTACTCTTCAACTGTGAGTGATGGAATCTAAAACAAAAATCCAGAAAAATACAATGTATGATTTTTAAATAATTAATTTCCATTTTATTGTGTGAAATAAGTATTTGATCATCTATCAACCTGAAACTTAATATTTGGTACAGAAACCTTTGTTTGCAATTCCAGAGATCAGACGTTTCCTGTAGTTCTTGACCAGGTTTGTACAC